CACGGATCAGTGAATCGCGGTCAAGATCGGCGGTGTTGCGGTGCAACGCTTTACCGCGATCTTTAAAATAACTCGTCGCGGAATAATATTATAAAACTGGAGCGATTAGCTCATAGGCTGACGTCAGTATTAAGGACGCTCGCGTTTAGTCTACAATCTCTGTGATGAAATTCCATATTTCGCACCGGTCGAAGTTCGCAACGGTACTTTCTTCTCTCTAAAAGTCAATCGGTGAATTATCACCGAATAGTCACTGATTTACAGTTATAAGTATATCACTGCGATTTTCACTATTCGCTGATCTCAGTGATAATTCGCTGATTGACTTTTAGAGAGTTTACGTGTATCGTGAGGCTTCATGAAATGAAGTAAAATTCCTTTAAAAGAATCGAGATAGAGAGGCTCTTTTTGTTTTTAATGGTATGAGATTTTAATGTTTTCTGAGAATATGTGCTACATTAATAATTTACTAATAAAGTTAAAAGATTTTTTATTTTTCGAGCCAGTACTAATATCTTCGTGTATATTTACCGAATTGTGATTATAATTTTAAAGAAGATATTTGATATTCGGTCGTATCGTTTTTATAGAATCATAAACATATTAAATATATGTTATTCGTAAATAAAATAAGGAATATAGTGCTGAGAAGATACGTGTTCAACTACATAGCCACACATAATTGAGTACGATCTTTCCACACGGTTCTTCATAAATGTTGAGTAAATTTTAATTAATTATACGCGACATTAATTTTGCTCGTTATTTGCATGAAAAATGATACATTCTCTGATAATGAAGCTAATATTCTCGCATCTAAATATTAAATTTAAAATTAATCGTGACTTAATATAATTTTCATTCGTTTCATTCGTAAACCACAAATTAAATAAAAATAAAAAATGAAAAATATCAGACATCATTGTCCGTATATTAAAAAGATTAATCGAAATGAATGTTGGCAGAGGAATGGAGATTTTATAAAATTTTCTACGTATACTCCAGCTAGTATCTTAATTTGAGAAAATATCAATTGAATCGCGCTTACAGCTTCTCGATACAGATAAGTACTTTCGTATCACTGGTTGACGAAATAGTTTATACGCTATAATTTTACAAGGGAGGATGGAATGTGTATAATTCTTAAGTTGCTTGCAACGATTCCGTAATAGAAATGGACGTCGGCGATGAAACGTGCATAGGATAGCCGAAATCGCGAAGAGCGACAGAGACATTCGCCATAATGCGTGAATTCTTGGCCGCACGCGCATATGTGTGCGAACACGGGTTCGAGGGGCAAGGAGGGGCCTGCGAAGGGAGGGGAAAGGCGCGGGAATCGCCAACACACATCTCGATATCTCACAATTCGATCTCTCGAGCCGGCCGCTCGTATATTTACATGTATAATTTATATATCCCGTAGTCCGAACGAACATGCGGTGCGTCCGGCCCAGGGCGGGCCCACGGCCGTCCTTATGATCGCTCTGGGACGTCCGTCGAATCCCGCGCGAGCCGGGAAGGCATTATAAAGGGAAGTCCGGCACGAGAGAAACTCGCGGGAATCCAGTCGCGCGAATTCCCACGATTGTTAGGCGACGTCGCTCGATGGCTCGGGGAATCTTCGGAAATTTTTGCGTATACGCATTGCGGGCGACATACGTTTCCCTCGCAAATTAAACGCGACAAGCGGTGAATTAAGCCGGTTATACGGGACGGACGCGGTCATTATTTTGTACTTTCATTTCTTGCACTAGCTGCGATAAAACCTGATCTTTATTCATGAATATCTCCCGATGTAGATTTCATAATTGCGCGCTTGCTAAATGCTCCGAGTACAATGATTTTGAAATGAAACAATTTAAAACTTTTCCCCCCTAATTTACATGCTGCTTGCGCAGTCACTATATCACCTATTAAGTTCTTCCTGTGTTCGCCGCTTCATAAAAAGATAGCAACTGCCATTATCGTTTGAGTGTCTTGTACAAAATGTCAGGTATATTAACGAGTTGCATTAAAAAAATTAATATAAACTTGAGTACGATCGTGATATTAATATAAGGCAGAAATAACAAAACCAAAATGCTTGATCGATAATTTCCAGATATTTTAAAGCGTCTTGTGTTCGCGCGGTTTAAAGCGATGTCCAGATCGCAAATAGCACAAAGATATAAAAAGGATGCGGTACTACGCGAGGTAGATTAACACGCGCGGTGGTCAGTCGTATCTGTCTCATCATAACGAAGGGCAACGTCGTTAAGAGATTTCGCGCGATAAGTAGCGGCGCAACCGAGTTAATCTATTGTGAATGCGGATTACGAGAAATGCGTATGGCGGCCTCTCGAATTGTCACGATCCAAATTACTCGCGAACACGCGATCCTGCCAGGAGTAGCAGGCGCGCGACGCAGATGCAGTAGTCGCGTGAATGGAAACGAGGCGGTCTCTAATTAAACGAATTCCATAATACGTTCTCGTACGCGTAACACGGCCGTGATAAGGGCTACCCGTCCGGGCGCGACCATGTGGTCATGGGATATTTTTTCGGGGGGTCGTGCGGGCTTTCCTTGTCGCCATTGTGTGGCCGCGAGGGCACAATTAATTATGGCGTACGTCCACAGAAGGAGCGCATTGTTGCGTCTGTATTGTTTAAATGCGCGCGTTGCGTACGTCTGCCGATTACGCGTCTCGATGCTCTCATGCGTTCATTTCGATCATTTTGAAAACAGCCGCGAAAAGTCATTTTCGAAGATGATAATCAACATATTTCTTTAATTCATTAGAGATAATGAGTTATAGATTACAGATATTTGTGGAAACTTTCTCTCTCTCCGATTCAGAGAGAATGTCGAGGTATTTAGAGCACGCTTTGGCAATTATATAAAGAGCGACGAGACGCTCGTCTTTTCCACTAAGTAAATTCCATATTGTGCAAATTGCAAACTTCCTGATAGCGAGCTTTATTCCTCTTTACAAAGATCGCGATATAATTTTCAACGTAATGGACGTTTCTTCGCCCGCAATTTCCTCAAACGCGCGGTAATTAGAGATTGGAGAAGCAAGTGGTTCTAAGCCCTTTTTATACAGTGACTTTCGAAACTGATTAAATATACTACACGACAATTATCTGTGATTAATTAATTTAAAACGACAACCGACGCGAAAGACTTTTCAATATCAACGTACTCTCTAAAAGTCAATCAGCGGATTATCACTGAACAATTCAGTGCTATGCTTATAATTGGTTTCAATGATAATGCACTGGCTTTTAGAGAATATAAACGATTTATGATCGCGCTACAGATATCTTCAACTTGATGAATTTTCACAAGAAATTCGTAAGCGATACGATTTGATCAGTTTCACCGTGTAGCGAGACGCGTTTAGACGAGCGCCGGGCATTCTCGTGCGTTACGAAGAGCGTTCGGTTGAAATGTAAGTATGTGCATGTGCGCGTGTGTAAGCACAGGTGAGTTAAAGGTGAACAACGTGAAACCGCGCACGGGAGAATCTCGAGGCGAAGCAAAGAGAACGCGGTCTCCTCGGGTTCGTGTTCCGGCGAGGGGAACAATCGGCTTCGCCTGAGAAGCTAATTAAGAGAACACGACGGCGACGATTAAACGATTCTCCGCCGAATCGAGCGAGACGAATTAATTCCGCCGTCGATCGGGAATCGAGGATAAACGATTGAAAGTGATACCGCCGCCAGGACCGAGACCTATCTGGTGCTCGAACGGTAATCCCTCGCGTGACATGCGAACGCGATTCGATGCGACTCCTCGAACGAGAACTTGGTATACGATCATGTCCAGCGCTTACCAGAAATATCTCCCACAATTGCCGTAAAACGTTGCCGCATTACGCGACGAGGTCGCGGGGACAATTTTATTGTGAGCGTTAAGCTCCGTCTGCTGTAATGCGTCTCTTCCGTCTCCTGAAAGGGCAGCAATTTCGTTATCCTGAATACTTTAGCATAAAATTCGACGAATCGGGCCACGAAGTCGACGAAGTCAACGAAGTCGTTATACAGATTTAACGAGCGGTCTTTTGGTCATTGACAAAACCATCCGCGATTAGTCGCCGCATTGTGCGTTGCCTAGTCCAGTTCTTTGTATAGAAGGGCAGAAAATAACGTAATAAAGTGCCCGCCAGGATATTTCGTGCGAATATCGCACACACGTACTTCGCTGAGCATCACGATCCGCCGACTTCGCGGCACGGAATTCTGCAATTTTCCATAATCGAGGCACGCACGTGAAAACGAGGCCTCATTTGCGCGCGGCAAGCACGGAAGGATGCTGGTCGGAAGGATACCGCGGCGGCGGAGATGCTTAGAGAACGCGGACGGATGTAGCCGAGGGCGCTGACTGGCAGCGCCCGAACGTCAAATTACGGGGCACCTGCTCTTCAAAACGACTTCATTTCACTCGGTATCGTGTAGGCATTTCGAATCTGCCGTGCGGTTTCTCCGCCCGGTAACGTCTGCAATCATACACGTGAAAATACCCGATTAGATTCCGAATTAACCCCCTAATGCGTCAGAATCTCGCAGAAACCCGTCCGAGTCTCTTCCCGCGGCAGTTTATGCAGCGCGCTGTACCGCGTCACTTGTTAAATCGCAAGCTTTTTCTCGTCAACTTAAAGTCGATTCTTTTTTTTCTTCTTCGTGAAAAACGCCGAGATTGTTTACCGCAATTTTCCAATTTCTAGCTTCATTTTCAATTCATTACAATCTGCGTCGTTTTTATTTCTTATGCAGAGGATCAAATTTAATGCGAGGTTACGCTTTGCTATATGCAATTTTATCCCATCAGCGTAGGCAATTTGAGCAGAACGCTGTTTCATGCGTTATTGTTGACCGCTCACGTAATGTAGGTCTGAAATTTCGCTCACCCCTCCTCTAATTGACATGAACGGTGGCAGAAATAATGGGGGGGGGGGGAGGGGGATCGATTTTTTCGCCTAGCACTGGTTGACTTTCGCGGGAACGTCGGGGCGGCATCAATTTATATCTCGGCATGTTATTACTGATTGGAAACCGCAACGCGCGATTCTCCGTGCGCAGTATCATTACGTTTTTGCTTTACGTTTACCGAGTGAAAATCGAGCGTCACGCCTGAGCTGGTGCCACAGTTACTCGAAATATCCGTGCGCCGGCCGTGCATCGTAGGCAAACGCGAACATAAATTTATCAATATTCTAACGAGCGCGATCGCGCGTTCAGTCGCGGCTGGCAATTTGAATATTTTTGTCGCGAGATGACAGGTTTTGTCGATTTGGCGAGACTAGCGCTTAATCGTGTATTAATTCCACGCAGCGGCGATTCTCTCTGGTCACTTACCTGCCAACCGGTTTATCTTCCGCTTGTCTTTTGTCTTGAAAAAAAGTTACGAGACATTGAATACCTAGTATTTTATTAGCGCGTAAAAGCAAAGGCGAACGCGCCGCGATGCCGATCGATTCGCGTCGCTCGATCCGTCGATTCGCGTGTCTCGAAAGTCGATTGTCTTAAGGACCACAAAGTGTGGCGACAAAGGAGCAAGTGGAGCGTTGCCGAGCAAGAAATCGATTTTATCCGGAACCGGTCTCCGATACATCCGCCGGTTAAACAACACTCTTACGAAACGTGATCTTTTCAATTCCTCCTGTACGGGCAAAACTTAAAATTCCACTTGCACGGGCAAAACTTAACCGTGCACCGTGAAACACCGTCTTGAAGAAACTTTCGAGTCACGACGACAGCGACGAAAAATTTCACAGTCTTTCGTCTCTTCTGTCTCCGCTTACACCCCTACTTTTTGTTGCAAGGACAACTTCCCATCGTCCCCGCGTGAGACGAGTTAAATTTTAGAAATACTACGCCAAGACCTCTCGTTGGCGAGCAAAGCGAACGCGCGTCGGTGCGATTTGCCTATTTCAAACTGTTCGTCGCCCGTTCCGGAAGCGTCGTCTCTTAAATATAATCCGAAGGCACTGTGCTCTCGTTGATCGCCGCCAGTCTGTACTGCGGCGCGTCCAGATTCTGCGGGTTCAGGTGCAGGTTCGTCGTGGCGGTCGTCGTCGTCGTCGCCGTCATCGCCGTCGCGCACGGCGCCGTCGCGCTCGGCATTTGCTGATTCGCCGAGTTCGAGCTGAGATCGCTGTAATAGGCGCTGCTCGGTGCGCTGCTGAGGGTCGGCCCGTCCGGCTCGGCGTCGCTTCCGGTGTACGCCGTGTTCTGGTACGAGGGATGCTCGCTGTTCCTGCTACCGAGCCTCAGCTCCTGGTGATGATGGTGATGATTGTGGTGATGGTGATGGCGGTGATGATGCTGACTCGGCGGTACCGGCGTCGAGGGCCCGTTCTCGTACATCTCGTAGTCCGGCTCTTGTATCCTAGAAGCAGCGATAGCGAAGCTCGCGATAATCACTGGACTGGCTATTCGACCGGAATGCGCCATTAACATACGCAAGGCGTATCGGCCGTATCGATAATTGCCGATTACGCGGCGGCGCGTGTCGGATGCGCGCGTTGTGGCGGGCAATTAGGCTCTGTTAGGAAGGTATTGCCAGAACAAAGCCGGCACCGGAGCTCGTTACCGATCTAGGAAGTCGAGAAACGATAAACCATTGCGTATTATCGGCTTTCGTAATCGTCGCTTTCGCGATCCACTTTCTGAATTAATCGTATCAGTGTGCAATGAAACGTTTTATGTCTTTAACGTGGTATCTTATTCTAAAACGACAAATACATTTTTCGTCCGCATTTGGAAAATACTCGACTCACCTTTTACTGTGCCGAGTGCGAAGGGTATCCGTCTGCAGCGATCCGTCGCTACCTCCATAATGACGATGTAATCTGGCAGCGTCCAGCTCGTGATATTCGTCGTCCTGGCCGCCGGAAGTCGTACCGTACGTCGAGCTTCCTCTCATTTGTAACTGTAAATCGCTCGCGTAGCTCGCGGCCTGCGAGTCCAGTTCCGCGTACAGAGCCTCGTCGGTTTGCATGTGGGTGTAGTGATTCTCGACCGGGAGATTCATCGCCCGTCGGTGCTGAGGCAGGGAGAGCGGCGTCGTGACGACTCCCGGGGTGCCGCCGCCTCGCCGAGAGCCCAGCCACGACCAGACGTTGTGCCCTAAAGTCCCATTTCATCCACAACTTGAGACCCATGCTGATTAGTAAAGTCCTTTATTATGAGATAGGATTCTAATGCGAGATAGCAGGTTTTCAACGTCAGTCACAAATCTTTTTTCGCTACGACTACACGATCCGACGATCAATTTTCCACTAAACAGATTTCACTCCAAGGGCAACAAGGTGGAACCAACAGACGACGCTTATTAATTTATAATAGCAGAAACTCCGCTATCTTATATTAGGAGCCTATCTCATAATAGGGGACTTTCCTCTACATTTCCTTAACGTACCTTGGCGGCGTGTCTAAAGGAACAATCGTCGCGACACGCGGTTTTAGACATCGAATGAGTCTGACGTGACTTTGGCGGAGAGAATAGGTAAAACGGACAAGTCTGTTTTTTCGTTTGTAAATTGTTTCGTATCGTTAATCAATTAATTTTGTTTTCAAATACGAATTCAGTCTCCTCCTGGGAAGGTAGTTTCCAGATAGGCGCAGCTATCGGACACACTTGATTTGTTGGCTCATTTTCATTTCTTTCGCTCAGCGCGCGCGCACGCGCGATATTTTGTTCGGCTTATCGGAAGATACGGACTCGTTTCGTAACATCGTGAAAGATCCTGCAGAACTATCGGCTAGTATAGTTGAAAACGCCGCGGAGAACAAGTCGCGAGATCCGGTTCTCGAACTTGTTCGAAATGAGACGTACGGCGGGAGACGGTGCTACCGCGTTCGCGGTACACGTAACGTGACGGGAACACGCGAGTAACGAGCGGCCATTTCTCAGGGATCTCTCCCTCGACGGCGAGGGACTACGCATATTTATCGGAAGCGTCGAACAGCAGGCGTCTCGTAATAACACTCACCTGGACTAGGCGCTACGTCGTGATAAGGCGGCAATTTGTCTAATTCGAGAGGCGGCCGATCGGGTATAACGGCCACCCCGCCGCCGGTGCCAGCCGCCCCCGCGGGTCCGCCGGCATCGGGCGCGCTCGAGTCCTCCACGCCGACGCCGCAGCAGCTCGCTGGAACACAAGAAGCGAAGCTCTCACACACATTGCTCAGTGCTCCGGAAAAATTCGTTGGCGCGTCGACGCGAAAGTCGCCTTTAGCTCGGGTTTCACCTAGCTCGCGTTTCTCAGGGTAGGGAGAGACCGTCGCTACGGCTCCTCGTTTCGGTTTAGCGGGATCCGCTTGAATTCACGGGACGCGTCTCTCGCGCCGAAACACGTCAAGTGCCAGGTGAGGTCGGCCCCGGATTCCGATACGTTTATGGTCCCACGTGCACGTATACACCCCATGCGCAAATATAAATAACTGCCCCCATATATAGAATGGCGACCGAACCCGAATCACCGCATTATGACATGCGCCCGCGTATAGAGAAAAAAAAACCGGCTGTCTTCTATATGGCCTCATTGTGAGCCTGTCATCGCGCCGTCACGGGCCCTCATAGAATCGTACTGAGGGTTGTAGCGTATCAGACGGTGGGGCGGATGGTTGAACCGGAGTAAGGGATGGAGAGAGGCGGAGAACGGAAAAAGATCTTGAAATTCGTGGATCAGAAACGCCGCCGCGACGATAAGTAGGCTTAGAATATGCCGCGGAGGTAAAAAAAAAGTTATGAGAATCTCGTGCTCTTTCCGTATTCCACGCTCTCTGTCACTCCCTTGCCACGAAGACGATCTCGTATCCTATATTACTTCTTTTAATTTTCGATTGTGGCTGAAAGGACTGTCTGTTTTGAAAAGCGTGTGGACGTCATTCGGAAATAGAGAGGCTGCTTCACGCGCTATTCTCCTACATTTTCACTCATGCTTAACTTTTAATTAGGCTTCTGTGAAGAGGAGACACTCCGATCGCGAGAGCGATCGTAATAACGGGCTTCTTAACGAAATGGTTGATGGACGTATTAGAAATCGTTGATTACTTGACTCGAGCGCACTTTCGCTTACATTTTTGTGGAAGTCTTATGTGGTAATTGATAACTTTAACCTTGACACGCTCCTAATTCTTTCGGTATCTACTTGCCGTATTATTCCTAAGCTGTTCACTTTCGCTTACAACATTTTTGGGAATTAGGTATTTTTAAACTCGTTTTCACCGATTAATCAAATCTCTAAATTTTTTCCTATTTATTAACGTCTACGGGTCTTGGATTGATCTTCGAGAGACTAAAATACTAAATTTAATTTCTTATACATAAAAAATGAAAGATTTTTCTTTTACTGCCCAATTTACAAGTCACGCGCGATTTTATTGCCAAATAATCGATTAACGAAATAACCGGTTATATAACTGTGAAATGCTTAGCTTCGTTAGAAAATCATTAAATCGAACCAAGCGTATTCTGTGACCCTCTATTCCTGCCTCGATCTGACGCGATTAAAGTCGTAATAATAAAGAGGGAAATCCGTTATATCTCTACAATTACGCGTGACTACTCTGCTTAATGCTGCCAGATTGCCCGATGCCATCGATTAATGCCGAAATGAAAAGTGTAATCGCGTTTATTTATTAACAGTACGCTGATACCGAGCACGATTACGACTTGCGACTTAACATTCCGCCGCTAATCTGCTTATTGCGGGAGCGGATCAGGCACACGACGATTTATCCTCCCGTCATTTCGCAACGGTATTGAACCAGTTCTCGTTACGATTTAACCAGTGTGACAAAATTCTAGCGTCTCTCCTCAAGTAACCTTCCCATTAAAAAACAAGAACACGCGTTCAAAACGCGTCCGCATTTACATTGTAAACTAATTAAAGAATTTTTTTGCATTTCAACACCTACTCAGCTCGTTTTACATTCGTGGCCGTTGACTCGACACGGGCGTTTTGATTTGTTTTTTAAATTCCCCATTATTCTCTCTTTTCCCCTTGATTTTACTCGATTCTCACGCAACGATGCGTTTCATCCTATTTTGACGACTGTTCGAAATTTCGACAGATACCTCGTTTTTCTGAAATAGGAAATATCTCTATATGTAAAAAATGTTTCATTTCTTATCAAAAACTTTTCGTGAGGTAGCTAGTGCTCTCCGTATGCTCTCCGTATTAAAATACAAATTTGATTCGCGGTGACGCAAAGAGTCATAGAATAATCTCAATCCGTGCAAATGTATCCCGTACGTGAAAGCACGTTAGGCAGCTGCGAATCAACTTGTTGTGCAACGTGACATAGTTTTCATCTTTCGAATGAGTTTAGGTAATCGAATCCGTTGGTTCTTCCAGATCGTCGTGCCGTATCATCTGCTGCGTATCAATTATTATGATAGAAAGGTAGAATATTAATTGGGCGACATATGAAAAATGACGTTGAAAAATATGTTGCGATTTCGAGGGACGGGACTCTTTCATCACGATAAGATAACTGAAGGCGTACCTAGAACTCATTTCTTACCTTGTCCACTATTGTCTCACGTGTGAGATATCACAAGATAAGAATTAAATACGTTCGGAGCATTACAGACGCTTACAGTTCCCTTGTTCGAATGTCCATTGTTTAAACACAAGAACATTATAAATAAATTATATCAGAAACGTTTTATTCACTTCTTGATAAACGTACAGTTTTTACAATGTAGTGTCCAGAATTGGAAGGATTCTTTGAAAAGATTTTGGAATAAACTTTCGAATAAGTTTTATCGCAGACCGTTTCTTGTTACATTTTTTGATATTAAGAATCTCTCGATAATAAAATTAACACACTAAAAATAAAATCTACTGGAAATTATGATAATAGGAAGTAAAGCTTATAAAAAATTATTTTATACAATAAACTTATTTCCTCTGTTCAATATTAGTTATACGTATAACTCGTGTGTTATTAACTTAATTGTATAATTCAACGAATTTTGTTGTAATCAACTCGATATAAAATTTTAATTTATACAACAAAAGGTTTCGCAGCTGTTCACATCAATATGTGTTGAGCGCGTGTAGCAAGCGTCTCGATTACTTGACGTATTACACACACACATTGACTGATCCAAAATATCGTTCCAGTCGGCGCGATAAGCCGATTAACGGATTCGATTCACCTTTTCTACTCGACTCCTCGATCGTCATTGTATACGGAGGATCGCACGGCAATCTAACGTGTATAGTGTGGACCCCCGTTCTTTTTTGCGCGAGAGCAGCCTCTTTCAGCCGTCCATTAACGCGCTGCTCGCCCGGTGGCACTTAAAGCAATCCTTATGCGCAGAAGAATGTACTATTAACGAACTTTCACTAATTTATTTTTTGCCCGGTAAGATATTCAATTATCTGTAATCTTGTGAAATGCCGGCACGATAAAGTTATATTTCGCAAGCTCCAGTTCAACGCTCAGTCAGAGCTCGTTATTGATTTAAATTGCGGATTTATTAGTTTTTGTAATGTTGAGGTTACATCCGAAAGAGATACTGGCAATATATTGAAGTATTTCTAATGAAAAGTCTGCTCCTAGAAAGTCTTATAAAGATATAAGCATTTCGATGCTCTATACCTGTATATCTGTATATTGTAGACCAGGGTATCTGTCATGGAAATGTTCGGAATGGATTCCGATCGAAATTATTTCGTTTCCCCTACATAACACAATAGAAATCTAGGAAGTAATTGAACAATTCTAATCGCAATCCATTCCAAAATTCTCCGTGATAAGGATACAGGGTATCTATCATGGAAATGTTCGGAATGGATTCCGCTTGAAATTATTTTGTTTCCCCTAGAAAACACAATAGAAATCTAGGAAATAATTGAACAACTCCGATCGGAATCAATTCCGACATTTTTCATGATAAGAGTACAGAGAATTTTAGGAATAGATTCCAACCGGAGTTGTTCAATTAGTTTCTTAGGAGAAACGGAATAATTCCGATTGGAGTCTATTTCGAATATTTCCACGATGGGTACCCTGAACTTAAAAGGCACAAGATTTTGTCGATAAATGACTAATCGAATCTCATAAAACACCACACATCAGATATAAAGTATGCCGTTCACTGTGTAGTGTTTTAAGAACGTATGTACGTAAATTAATTATCCTTTATTAATACTTACAATTAGGTGAAGTTATGAGAAATAAAGGGAGCTTTCCAGCAAGCGACACAAGTCGACACAAATGTCGTTCTGTCTTTATTATTCATTGAATGCGAAGAAAGACAGAACGACGTTTGTGTCGACTTGTGTCGCTTGCTGGAAAGCTCCCAAAATATTCGGCGTATGTCTACATTTTATGAATAACCGAAAAAAAGTCGCTTTAGACACGCGGCCTTGGCCTTGGCTGTTTACAGCGTGCGTGTTTTCGTTCGCGCGGTGGCAGGTAGCGGCGCAAATGGAAAACAATAGTCACCACGGCGGCACATTCTTTCTCGAAACGCGGTAGCGACAAGTACTGCGAGACGGAAAACGCGATCATTTTCTACGACCGATACTGCTAATTACTTCTTAAACGGGCGAGTTTAATTCTCACGAACATGTAACGACTCGTGTTGTTCAAATGTATCGAGGCTCATTGCGACTGTTTGTAGACGCAGACAATTGACACGATTTATTCACTTACGTTGAAATAAAAGCGAAACGAGATGAGAATTACAAACTCCTGTGAGCTTTATCGCGATCGTTGTTTCTTTGAAGACACAAGTGGAAGAATTGCCCGTCATTTTGGATATGATTTGATCGTTACTTGCAGATTGAAAGAATGGAGCAATGACTTGCCAACTCGAGTGATTTAAGTAACCGTGATATATCGGTCGTTTAATAATTTCTCGCATTACGCGAATTACGCGTCGCGTACAGTTAAGCTCTCGGAAGTGTCATGCAAAGTGTGTGCGACCGTAATTAATCATGTTTCGCAGTGCCGCGTGTGCAACGTAGGAATCCGAGAGGAGGAACAGTTCTGGGAAGCGTCGGACGTCGACGAGGCAACCGTATGGTGAGTAATTTATTACTTTCCTTACTTTTTTATTAGTTATTCTTATTCAGAATTTTAAACACGTGGATATTATATTTTGGCCAATTTGGAGCGTTGTAACCCGAGAACTTAATGAATCGTGATATTTTCGTTAGAATTACAATTTGTTAATTACATCTCCAGAATGCGCAATTAAAATATATAACTTAGTCATGTGACATCCCGCGCCTAAGTCGCCTATTTTGAAGATAACGTGATACATTTGACGTCAAAGTTTTGAAAAATTGTTTACTGAATAAGATACTTGCGTGTATCTATGCGTGTGTATGCGTGCGTGCATATTAACGCGCATATATTTAACCCAAGTCTATATTTTCTTGTCGTAAGGCGGCAAGCGGCTTATGGTCAAAGTCACGATAAGATCTCTTTGACGCTAGAATTTCATTTTGTCATTGAGAAATTTTCTCTTGTACGTATTACTACGCGATTAGCGGGAGCTCGTTGTTTCAAGAGGCAGCAGTAAATCATCGCGTCTTAACGTGTAATTGTATCTTAGTTGTTCGCATGCCTCTCTTAGCGGTTATCCGTTTTAAAACCGGACTAGAGAACTCGCCCGCGGGGCGAGAACAACGAAATTATGCATTCTTACGGGTTGCAAGTACAAATTGCTCTGCGCGGACCACCTTAGACGATTCCTTTGAGACTAAAGAAACGAAAACTGATAACGTTACCAAGCACAATCTGATAAACTTGTGATCGATTAAATCTAAAATTTTCAACATATCTTTTCAAGACGCTTATAAAATATAATACGAAAAAAAACGCAATATCATATAATAAAGGATATTAATGATTTTTTAAAAAGTTCCATCTAAAGTTTCATAAGCATACTTTTTAAATATGTTTCACATATTTTACGTGTTCATATAAGTGTTTTTTTAATTGGTGGATTATAATAGAGTCAGCTTCGGATTTAGGCGTATAGTTTAGAATTGAAGGCTAGAGCTTAAATCGCGTCGCGAAGACCCGCTGGTGATTCAAGAGGTTCAATGAAACGAGTGTCGGATAATTAATTCGGGTGACCCCTACATCCCAGGCAGTAGCACAATCCCCCCTGTCTTTCCGCTCGCTCATCGTCTTTTTACGCTCGCCGCCGTTCGCTCGTCGATCGTATCGTGCTGCGGCTGATTTTAAATCAGAAAGTTAATTAGACGCGTTTCACTGTCTTTTATGTCGCCCGGCCGTCCGTCGCGTCGCGTAGCGTCGCGTCGCGTCGCGTCATGTCGCGTCGTATCGCATCGCATCGCATCGGTTATATCCCTTAGGCAGCACGACAGAGAACGTGCAGCGGCACCGGGTCTTGTAGTTTATACCGCCGCGAACGGCTTGCATTATGCGAACTAATTAAACTCCAATCCGATGGCCGGCACTCGATGCCACGACGGTGTTGCTCCCTTTCCTCCTCGTGCCGACGTGCCCGTCGTCGCACGTCGTCAGCCCACCGCCGTGCACGCGCACGCTCGTGTATGGGGTCTCTCCGCGCAATGGGGCTCGCTCTTTCCTTTCACCGTCTGAAACCGTGACGGTCGTCGCTGGTCGCGACGGAGACGGCGATGGCGACGTCGTGCCAGACTACCTCCGTGAACACGAGACGGAGAGGTGTATCCCCTTTATCCCCCGATAAGAGACACGGTACCTTAAGAGCGTGTCTCGTGTTTTCGTACCGTCACGTTTATTGATTCGATTGATTGTCGCCCTATTTTTTTATTTTTCGGGATCGTACCGGATAGAGGCGAGCACGACGCTCAGTTTAGAGATCGCGCGATGAGAGATCGATACGAGCGAACAGTTTATTCTGTAACATTTCACCATTAACGATACCTACATATGCTTGCCGTAATAAAAGTGGAAAATTAATTAACACGATACGCGCAGGCTTCAAACGCGTCGATATAATTTTTCATATCACACATCTCTTTGTATTATACCGATGCCATTTTCACGAGAGCGCCTTTCTCATCCGCATGTCTCGCCATATCTTTCGGCGACTTGATGTTTACGATGTGGCAAAGCGAGGAACGTTTCCTGAAGGTACCATTTGTGAGGTCCCTTATAAAGCACATCCGAGACAGTGTTATTGTAAATGTGGATGTCGCACATTAACGCGTGATGAAGAAACGAGCGAGTAGAAGGGCGCCGCGAGCAGGTAACCCAGTAGGGGGGACCCGGGTAATTGGGAATCATTTCGAATCTGACCTGTCAGCGCCGCCGTGAACCCGCCGCGCCGAACATGGTACGTTAATTCGACATAATTGGGGGGCTAGTCCGTGTCTCGGCAATAAATCCAGACCTCCCTTTATTCTGATGAACCTAATCGTAACCGTGCTCAGTTTCGTACGAATGATTCGATTTATAGATCGATTTCGTTTGCATGATAAAATTCGTCTCGTATGCAAATTGACGATATATTGTGTTCGTTAAGAGTTTAAGCGAGAAGAGTATAACCGAGGATAGTATTTCATGGCGAAGTTTTGCGAGAATTATGCAACATATTTTGACAAAGGGAGAGCATTTTAAAAATATAAAATTAACAAGTGACTGGACTCTCGAAATTGAAAAGACAAATCAAGGATTTAAGCTGTGAGAACCAACACCGGTTATTAGTGCGTGTCAATCTAATATAATTGTTCAAATACAATTCTTGATTACAAGTTCCGGACGTTTCGGTTAAAGGTGTTAACAACGAAAGAATGTGAATCGCCAGTAGTTAATTAACGATAAAAATAATTGTTAGACGGCATTACGCTGGCAGATCGTGCGAAAGACACGTCGTGACTCGAGAGAGAATTTTGCTTACCTCTGCCACCGGCACTTTTTATCCTGCAACAGATGAAATAGAAATCGATGAATCCTGAGAACTATTTGTCATCGGTTATTTTATTAAGGTAATAATTGTGGTACGTTAGTTGCTTTTTTAAATATGAATAATTTCATTACGGCAAATGGAAACATTTCGTCGAACCATGGGTTGGTAATAATTGCTCGTAAAACGAGTGCTCTAAATAAATTTTTGTTTTCATTATAAAATTCTAAGTGGAGAAACATGCAAGTTGGCAATCAAGTTTTAATAAATCATCTTCTGCGAGACGGACGTAGAGGAGGATGAGGAGATTGCGATCACGAAAACCCTCGTTTCCTGGCTACTCAGGAATTCTAATCGAGATCTGACCGCAGTCATGATTCTTTCGTAATGGCGCTCGTGTACCATTCCCTCCCTCTTTTTCTGCCCTTTTCGACGCCCCGTTAGTCTGTCACTTGCCGGATTCATACCGAATCGATCTAGTTAGCGGCCGCGTCATCCTCGCTCTTGGTGTCGATCGACCCGTTCGATTACGTATCGCCGGTAGGTGGTAATTTAAGAGAATCGAGCAGCGCGCGCGGCTGTAAGATGAAACCGCGATCGGTTCGCGAATCTGTCGGCGCGATGATCCGTATCCGTAGCGCTTCACCGTTCTTCGCGAAGCCCTCGAGAGAGAAGCGTCTCCGTGAAGATTGCATCAAGTAGCATGCAATAGGATTTCAATTTGAGCGGCCATTAACTCCGATTGATTCTATCCAGGAAACTTCACGGGAACGAGGTCGTTAATTCCGCGTCGCGTAAAGGCCACTTTGGATTTTTTTTCCTCACGTGCACTGACCTAAAAGCTATGCATTTTTATTTACGAGAAAGTAATAATACTGACCTTCGACAATGGAGAAGAGTCATCATCACTACCGCTCCGATGACGGCTGATACTAAAGACACTATCACAAGAGTCAGCACCCATCCAAGTTCTCCAGGAGCTTCTGTAAAACAATCGAAAGTTATAGGTTCAGTAAACATTTCTCGTAACAATTGTGTTGAAACAAATACGACAAAGCGCTATTTATTTTTTAATCTTGTTAGGACAAATATAAATTAATCGTAAAGAGACGCGGATTCTTAAAATTATTTGGACAAAGGTATACTATCTAACGAGAAATATAGAAAATATGAGAAACGCCAGAGTCAGAGGACTAGTACACAATTCAACTGCAACAGGTGCGAAATACAAGTGTATAAATATGCTGTCGCTAAAAATGTGACATTTAAAGAACGCGTCGGCTCTCGGTCGTTTTCGGTTTTCGTCTCGCCGCATTATCGTAATTTCTTGAGGCGAGTCCGAGTCTTTGCCGAGCATATATATACACATATACATATATACGGATAACACGAGCATCATATAAATCGACTCCTGAGATCTTGGCGCGGTACGCGCGGGCGCCCGGTAATTGGCTCACAGCCTCATCCGGCGCGTCCCGTTTCCGCGCAGCGGGACACCCGCAGGTTTATTAGGCGTCCTTCGCTATTATTCCTGCCGCACACCTACCGAAAGCACTCTGCGTCCCTTACCTATCCCACTTATCCCTGGTGAAATCGTTTCATCTCGGACGCGCACCGGCAGCGATCTCGCGCACCGCACTTAACGAGGCCCGAGATTATCGTCCGTGCGAACGTAATTAAGAGAATCGCGCCGCGGGTTTATTGCGAGGAAACGGCGGCCGCGAGCGAGCGTATGATGGAGACGACGGAGGTAGATTCTTCTCGGTGCGGATCGGCCGATTAGCCGGGGGAATCGTTGTTCGGGGCGCGACTGGCGGCGGCCGTGCGATTCGCGGTCGGCCGGCGATCATTTCCCGCAGGCCTCCGCCCGAAGTGTACTTACACACTTGCCGAACGATTCCCGACCAGTTCCTCGGTTGTTTGCATAGCCGTTCTTGGCTGAAACGCGAGCTTCGAGTGAGATAACTGCGCGCCACCGAGCGGTTTCCTTCCCTCGTTCCACGCTCATTAGTCGGGTCTTATGGTTCGTCGCGTTATCGTGAAATATCTTAAACCCGCACAGAATGTTTCTGATCGGTCCTTACTCAAGGTCTTAATCGCGACGATTCCCTCCGGCCGACGCGAATTTAAACATTGAAATGGAGATTAGCGGCGAGCGCTCCGCGGAATTACAAACGGGGAGAACGGGATAATTAGGTCCCGCTGATCGCGGGATTATCCGCGAAAGGGACGCCGTAATGCGCGCTTCGGCGACGACTCGGTTCGCATCTTCGCTCGTTGCAGTGACATTAATCGCGTGCAGTTTTCGAATTCCGCCGCGCAGCGGTTTCTATCTTAAGACCGTCCTAAGTACGCGCGCCCGGAGAGGTAGATTCATTACGCTCTTGTCACGCGGCTTTCCGTGCCGTCGGTCTGCCTACGCACACGTGAGTTTATATGTACTTGAAGTTGTCGACGCTGCAATCGCTCAGGGCCCGGCGAGCTTGGAAAAGAGGCTTTCAAGGGAGAGGAAGGAGCCGCTCGTGATCGAGAGCTGGTACTCGACTCTGCATACGAATGCGCCGTAAATGCTGCTTCTTCACGATTGTAAGGTAGCTCAGGTAGCGATAGAGGGATATAGGACTGGTCGGCTAACTTTTTCAAGCTAATAATTTTTGTGTGACGTCGTAATTAAGCATGATTAAGCGAGAAAGTATTTTTAGGGAAGAGCACGGTTTTTATTGCGCCCGCAATTTATAATTCCGAGATAAACATTCCTGGGTACGAAAGATTATTCTGCCGAGCTACGAATGAGTTTAGAAGATTTAATTATCCTTCTACGTACCATTTTGCACAAATATTCTCGGTTGAGTTATTTCAATTGATATTTTGAGTTCTTTCTATTTTACACAATTCATAAAACTAACAGACGCGTTTTCGAGTAAAACAATTCTGTGCCTAGCAATAGACGCGGGTGAATGAAAAATCAGCGGGGCTCGTTTAACACGTCGACATGTATCTTTGAATTAAAGACAACAAGTCACGGCTAGAAAGCCGAAAGGGGTAGGGAGGAGAAAAGGCAAAACTCGTCTATCAGCGTCACGTTCCTGACGTGAACATAACAGCGTGCACGCTGCGGCTGATAACGCTTACAAGAGAGTTATCAATCATCTCGCGCCGAGATTGACCACCTAGACCAATGCGTGTTAATGCCGGCCAGCGTGCGCCAGTTCCCTGTTACAGTTATCTCGGTAAATTGTTTTGATCTATGAATAGACCAAGCTAGTTAGGTAGTCTCTTCAACCTGTATGTCGGAGTTGGTAACCTGTTGCGAACCTTCTCCGTCTCATTAGCAACTAAAATTTTAATGACGCCGACACGATGTTTAACTGTACGTGACGCATTTTTCGCTGCTGATTTAGACCGATCAAGCGCACTCGTTTATCAAAGTGTCTTTCGTAAGGTATTAGAACGTATCTTAGAAATGGCTACCGTTATTAAAGAACGCTCATGACTATTGGAGCCTTAAATATCGAAGTCCATTCTCTAAAAGTCAAACAGTGGATTATCACTGAAAACAGTGAACATTCTCTGATTCGCAGTTATAAGTATAGAACTGAATTATTTAGTGCTATACTTGTAACCGTTTTCAGCGATGCACTGATTGACGTTTAGAGAGCATATCGACTGATCTCTTTCGCAAGTTTGTATCTCGAAACGAAGAAGATTGGTTTTTGGTTCGTGTCGCTACGTCGATTTTTCGCCGAGTTATAGCGTTTTAAAAATCGGGCGCGCGTGCACCATTCATGAACGAAGGCCGCGCGAGTTTTACGCGAGTATTACGTGAGCGTACTACGTCCCCAAAAAACTGGCATAAAAACATACGAGGCACAGATGTTCGGTAGTAAACATCGTCGCGTGAGACGCCGCATATACGCGCCGTCTGCTGCTTCTGAATGAGGATTAAGATCGCGAGTCGATATAATCGTCAATAACTTCGCATAGAAAAATCGTAGGAAGATGATCCTGGTCTCGTTGGAAAGCTAAGATTTCAGCGCTTCTAACGAGATAAGAATGGCTCATCTCGGATCATTAGTTTACGAGACATGATTGATAAATACCGAGAAAACTGATTTTGCCCCAAGATCGAGATTGTGAATTAATCTTTCGATTGGATGAATCTCTCTCACGTTGCGCATTAAATAGCAAACCTAATTTATGTTCACCCAATATTAATTTTTCTAAATATACACATATGTAATTGCACGGTTTTTTGTCGATAATCCCCTCCTCGGGTACTACCTTGTCGTGGTGGAGGGGCTTGAGTACCCCGAAGAGTTACTTTCTAAAAATCAATCAGTGCATTATCACTGAATCCATTGATTGATTTTAGAGAGTACATACTCTAAAGACGGGACAACCAAAGGTACCCATTGCACTATTTGGGCCCGGTTTTTCAGTTTCTAATAAACTGTTGACCACAGTTAATCGATTCTCTGTCTCTTCTTAGATAATTATATAGAAAAGAATAAAGAGTCGAGTAACTTCCATATTAACAGTTAAGCAGAAAATGATAAACCAGGCCTCTAACACTCTCTGAAAGTTAATCGGTGGATTATTACTGAAAATAACGAATCGATTCACTGTTTTCAGTGATAATCCACCGATTGACTTTTAGAGAGCACATTTGTTTATTTCATTTATTAATTGATTTGTTCATTTCTCTGATTTCAGCACTAACTCGAATAATTTCACTATTATTTCGCTAATTTAAACGAATCGCAACCGCGCGCGGCGATTCGTCGTGTCGCGTCGCGTTCGGGAGTGCCGTTTGTATAGTCGGATTAAAGACTTTCAAAGTGTAAAATCGCGCGAACGATCTTTGTGTTTTCGCGAGTGTTGTGCCAGAAGACAACCTGAGTGGAGGAGGAGGCCTTGGAGAGGCATCAGGCGCCGGCGGAGCAACTTTAGGGTAAATATTTTTTATTTCATATAAAATTAATCTTCCTTTTATCTATTTTCAATAATTTAAAAATTATTTTCTTTAATATTCATTTTCTTGAATACTCTGTTTTAATATGAACTTTATAATTGTATGTTACAGGATCAATAGTGAAACTCCGCTGCTGCGCATCGGGTAAGTCAAAAACTTTTTTATTACGGCAAACAGTACGAAAGAGGTCAGTCGATATTTCATATCGACGTAACCGTAGTTTAATTTAAATACAGCACGTTTGTATTTATATAAAATAAATGCATGACTGTATTAAGATTTTATGATTACTATTTCGTCTGATTGAATGGATGTATTAGTGTTGCACTTTTTTAATACCGCGATCGTATAAAACACAATTCGTTTCGTCTTTTCTTTGAAGAAAGCGCAATCACCCGCCACCGTTTTCGCGATCGGGCCAATCGTTTTAGAGTTGACCGCAACATCTGCTTCACCTTTCGCCGCATACAATCCGCGATCGTGATTTAATGTACAAAGACGGCTTAGTGCACGATCGCTTCATCGCTTTACCGTTTCAAACGCGATCGGCTGTTAAACATAAGTGAAAATAAGAATGAAACGGCCCCAGGCTCCTCGCTCGGAGTCGTAACTTCTCGCATAGACAATACTGTACGATCATTTAAACTCGTTAGACTCTATGGACTCTTGCGATCCGTTGCGAACGCGCGGATTAAAGGATATTGTGCAATCTAAATCACGCGCATGAGATTCAGAAAGCAAAATAGCAGGTGCAACAAACGTAGTAATAGTAAGATTAGCATTATTAAATACGTATTTATTATCCTAGTAATTCGGAGCAATTTGGATTAATTTACGAATTTATGCTCTCTAAAAGTCAATCAGTGGATTATCACTGAAAACAGCGAATAGTCACTAATTCACAGATATACGTATACTACTGAAAATCGCAGTAGTATACTGTGAATAATAAACTTTTTGACGTTTCGTTGATAAATAATCGTTATTTAAAACATTGCGTGTTCGGACAAG